GTGCGTGTGTGTGTGTGTGTGTGTGTGTGTGTGTGTGTGTGTGTGTGTGTGTGTGTGTGTGTGTCTCTCTCTCGCTCTGGGATGGGGACTTCCTGCTGAAAGCACGAAATGGCCATTCCTCTTCATTTGCGCCAGCATGACTTTGCTGACACGGTTGCACAAAATGGAGGCGGAGCACGACTGTACCAAAACCACTTTTTTGAGGTGCACCCGCAGAACCTAAAACGGGGTGCGTGGACCCATTTGGCATGCGTATACTTGAAACCGCTGTTAAAACGTGAGACCCGACACGAGTGTGTTCTTCCTGCGGTCGTATCGGATGGTCCCCTCCGAAAGAAATGCACAATGCCGCTAATTGTGAAGCTCCGATCTCTTCTCCTTGTCATTTTCATTGCGGCGTGTGACGTGTGGGACACCTCCCGTGAATCCCTTTTTATCACCAAGGGTACCTTCTCTTCCACACTCGCCCACGAGAAAAGCAAATGCACCAAACATACACCGTATGAAATCTATGACGTATATTTTGCTGAGGATGAAGAACATATATGCCTGCAGAGATGAGGAAAAGCTGTGTGGTTATTTGATTTATACACACACATATATATATATATATATATATATATATATATACTGTATATATAAATTTAAGAATCGTTCCCAATCTGCCAAACTGATGCTTTCAGTGGATTGAGTTGCGTTTGCTGCCATCTTGCACTGGTATCTTGAATTTTTGCTCGCAAGTCAAAGCAAAAACAACGGCGAAAAAATGGCAGAGTGATCTCTCAACAAGGAAAGGAAGAACAGTATGGGGGGAAAACAATATCAAATATTCCAATCGGGCCGACGATCCCAGAGGAGGACTTGTCAAAGATCGGCTTGACAAAGATGACTATTCCCCAAACGGCCTTGCTGCAGCTGTGCCGTGCTTTCGCATGTGGTGGCTCGTTGTTGAGGGGCTTGCGTTCGCGATGCCGGAACACTTCCCTCCCTCCGCCGCAGTCTCGCTCGCTTGGCGCGCTGCGGTTATTGTGGTGCGCTCACCATCCCGGCGTGGGGCGCTTGCGTCATGGCCATGATACCGGCGCAGGAATTTGTGCACGTCGGAATTCAACAAACCTTCTGGAGAATGATGGGCAAATATGGCAAGAGCTCAGTTCAGTGAGCACGAAAGGATTTGCTGTTTCTTTGGCTTTCTTGGACCTCTTTCCAAAAGACCAGTCCCACAAGGAGAGGCAATACACAGGGAGTTTACTCAGTCTCGCCATATGCTTCGTCCCTTCTTATCAAATTTCTGCACAGATGAACAATTTTTTTTCCCCGTTTTTTAATATTTCAACAAGTCAAACACAAACTGTAGCTTTTGTTTCCATTCCAGAAAAAGCCGAAATGGACATCCTGGAACGTATTGCTTGTTGCCAGGCTGCCGTTGATGAAAATTTTCACCCGAGGGATGATTGAGTCGGCGTACTTCGGAGGTCAAGCGCACAAGGGCTTAGCTGAAGAATCGTTAATTCCCTCTTTGACGAGCCTTCCTTGGCACCTTTTGGGCACGCGCGCCCATTTTTTCAGTGGCTGCTTTAAGAGGAAATGATTGATCGGGGGCAGCGTTTGAGCCCGCACCGAACCCAAGGTGCGGCTCGTGCGCTCGTCTTTCTGCCAGTCGCAAGTCGACGTTGTTTGGCCGTCATCTTGTGACAACACGGCGGAATATTCAAGAACGGAAACGTCCTTTAGTGCGCTCGGAACGACGGCCAGTCAGATGGCGTCGATTCCGTTCGTGACAAACACGTTTTCTCTCGAGCCCGAGCGCGAATGAATCCGTTACTTTCGGCGGCTTATTGCGCAGCCAACTTGCCCGTCGGCGCGTTTTTGTTTGACCTCCTTTCCAGCTCATGTGAAGGGAGGGGGGGGGGGGCGGGGGTGCCGGCGAGGGGGAATAACTGTCCTGCCGGGAAGGCCGGCCAACATTCCGACATGGCTTCCTCCGCCCACATCTGGCAGTGATCAGGGTGAGAGGAGGAGAGAGAGAGAGAGAGAACGGCAGGATGCGTCACCGGGGCTGACTCGGAGTCAGCCGGCCGCTCAGCCAGGCGTCAGATTGCAGCGGCGCTGCTTCTCTTTCCGCCGACGGAGCGAGCGCCATGCGGATGAGCGCGGCTTTGGATTTGAGCCGATGCCCGAGAGCCGCGCCGCCGCCGCCGCCGCTTTGGCCTTTCCGCACCTGCCCTTCGCATACCTGAAATCTCAGCGCGGGCCAGAAATTCTTTGCCTTTGTCAGCCCCCCCCTGCCCAATCAAATATGCTGAATGGTGGCCCTGGAGTCGACGCCTCGCAGGATGCCTGGTGGCGTTCTACGAGCAGGCATTCCTAGTGCCACATGTTTATGAGAGCGGCTTCGACTCTTCGACTATCCGTTGCAGCCACGTGACGACGGAGGGCAAAAGTTAACGACTGCCCAATGGAAGTGGGGGGGGATAACAGAGTGATGGAGCGACTTGTTTTTGCCCGTGGAGCCATGACATCCACCGCCGCCCGCCGTGTTCGCCCTTTTAATCGCTTTGCCGCAATTCACAGCGCGCGCACGTGCGCGCGCGACTCTTCTCGTGAGGTTTTCAATGCCGCATCCGCTGATTGAAAAGCTGAGAAAACTCCGCACGCGTACCAGTTTTTTTGTCGCCGGCCGGGTCCCTGGGACGAGATGCTACGCTCGCGCCGGGGTATG